CCACGTCCGCCGGCACAAGGGCGTCAGGAAATTCGAGTGCACCGAGTGCGGGTACAAGTTCACGCGGCAGGTGAGGCCCCCCCTGACCCCGGTGGAGCATGTGGCCCTGGCAGAGCCGCCCCCACCTCCCCGTTCCTCCTCTTCCTCTTCTCAGGCTCACCTGAGGCGCCACATGGAGATTCACGACCGCGTGGAGAACTACAACCCCCGGCAGCGGAAGCTGCGGAACCTGGTCATCGAGGACGAGAAGGCCGTGGTGGTGGCGCTGCAGCCGCCCCCGCCGCTCGAGGTGGGCTCGGCCGAGGTGATCGTGGAGTCGCTGGCCCGCGGGCCCCTGCCCGAGGAGCTCCCTGTGCAGAGACTCTGCTCCAACGAGAATTTCTCCCCGGCGGACGTGATCGAGCAGTCGCTGATCATAACGACGACAATTCCCGAGGACTGTGAGGCGTAACGCGGGCGCCTGACCACCGCAAAGCCTCGGGCTGGAGCCCCCACCCCTTCCCCGCCAAGGTCCCACCACGGCTGCAGGGAAACGAAGCCCTAACGAGGGTCTAATCGGGTCTCAAATGAAGAAACAAACACGAAGCCACTCCCAACAGCTACTGAAATAAAGGTACGTGTCCCGCACGAGGTGGGGTGTGACCGAGGACTCCGGGTGTGTAATACTGTGAATTTTGAACGAGCTCTCGTGTGCGGCTGGAGGAACAGCCGGCAGCTCTGCCGTGGGTCTGGGAGCTCGGGATTAAAGCTTACCTTGCCAGGACAGCGTGGCTCTGCCCCTTTTTTTCAACGCCTCCTCTGTTACATTTGTGCCTTATTTCTACTTTGGTGCGTCAGGCTTCTGTTAACTGCGGTTTCTTTACTGCTGGAGGCGGGGCGGGACCTGCGTCCTCTCTCCACGGGGATCATTTAGCTCTTCCTTAACTTGAAAAGCATCACCCGAACGGTGCCGCAGCTCCGCATTGTGGGGATTTCCGTGTCCGACATTGACCCTCCCCTGAGCGTTCCAGGGGCGGGGGCGAGATCACGTGTCCCTGCACACCCCGATGTCACCACCACGCTCCCCCCTTCCCCCTTTACTCACCGAGAAGGCAGAAAGTCGCTGGTTTAAACGTATCTCGGGCCTAGAACGAGAAACGTTGCAGTGAAAACTCTCGGGTAATCCTCCCCTCAAAGACGAGTCAAGAGATTTGCGTAACGTGCTTTATTTAACTTGACTGCTGCAAGTAAATTTGAAAACAAACTATGAGAATAAAAATACATTATCTGTAAATGTCAAAATGCCTTTGTTTCAAAGGATGGTATTTAGACTGTACGCAGAGATTCGGACGCAATGACTTTTACAAAAAATAAATACAGATCTGCAACTGTTGGGCCGGGTGGGGTCTCGGGGGTGGAAGGCTGCGCGTGTGCTGCTCAGGGGTCGGTGTAAATCCTCCGTCTGCGAGGCGAGTGCGGCGGGAGGCGGCATTACAGCCGCAGACGGGGGAGCTGCCCCGAACTGGAGCCCCCACACTCAGAATCCACCCGCGCAGCACCGGGAAAGGCTTCGAACCGCGGGGCCCCTCCGCCACCCCCGCCGGCACGCGGCCGCTTCAAGGCACTGTCAGAGTTTCGGGCTCGGGAAGAGCCCGGATTTCCCGAGTTCACCGCGGAGGAGCGAGGCCTGGGACCGCCTCCAGGGCAAAGCTGAGCTCTGTAAAGCCGTGCAGACGCTGTGGCGGGGACGGGGCTCGGCCCTGCTCAGTCCGGGGGCCAGCCAGGAGGCGCGATGGAGCAGACGGGCCCTTCCATCTCTGGATGAAGTTGAAATGCAAATTGTTTTTACTATTTGTTAAACACAAAAGATGGAAAAAGCAAAACGCATCAGCCAGCGCTGCAGCCGTCGCCACGCTCTGCCGTTTTCCCAAAGGCGCAGTGCTCATTTTCAGGCATCGCAGTTTTCACCATCTGATTCTTCAACAAACGTTCCACGCGCGAGCTGCAGGCAGCTCCTCCTCGGCGAAGGTGGATGGAGGAAACGCAGCCCAAGCCAGGTCACTTGGGCGAGCAGAAAGGCAAATCTTACACAGGCAAAAAAACCCAGCAAACCCCAAACTAAAAGAACAAAAAAACCCCTAAACTAACCAGCTACCTCTCAATCCACAACAGTCTGGCTAACTCCCACACCTGCGCCAAAACACGTCGGCGGCATTTCCCAACCGCCCAAACCCCAAGAGCTCCCGCAAACAGGAGGAGCAACGGCACGAGACCCCTGGGGAGGTCCCTGGGGAGGTCCGGCAGGAGGGGAATTCTGCCTCAGGGCGCCCAACGTGGCAATCCTTGGCCAAATCTCCCAGGAAGCTGCACTCGCCTTTCCCTGTATTTTTTCTTTTCTAAAAGACAACACCAACGTAGCTCCTTTAAAACGCTGAAGGAGTGAAAACTCTCCCTCAGTGCCCCGGGAGTGGCGGCGTTCTGGGCCTGGCTCAGCCCTACAGAGCGGGAGCGCGGCTGCCGCTGCCCCCTCGCGCCGGCTCCCAGGGCACTCGCTGCGACCAGAAATGGAAACGATCCGGCTGTGAGACTGCGATTACAAGGTGAAGGGTGTTTCTTAGAAGGAAAAAGTGCTCTGCTAGGAAGGGTTGGAAAACAAATACCTGCAGAATTTTAAGTGTTGTAACAACTGAAAAAAACCCACCAAAATACAGGCAGAGATCTGGACAAAGGGAACGGTGAAGCACCGTAGCCCAGCTGGGGCGAGATCCCGGCTATGTTGGATCCTTCTGAGGCGGGAAGGGGAACCGAGGGCCACGCTCTGGTGTTAACCCCCCACCCCCCGCCCCAGCCCCACGGAGGAAGACGTGCGCAGGAGCTCTGTCCTCCTCCGAGGCACAACTGAGGTGGAGGCCCAGCCACCGTCCCACCAGACAGACCCCTCCCAAAAAAGAAACCAAAGAAAGGAGTTTGGTGGCGAAGGAAGCATCACGGGGCGAAGGAGCTGCCGGGGAAAGGCCGTAGGTTGCTGGGTGACGTTGAGCGCAGCCGCTCTGAGTTCACCTCTCGGGTCTCCCCTGCAGGCAGCGAGGCCTTGGGGTCTGCCGGCCGTGTCCCGCAGCAGCAAGTCAAACGTCCGGAGCTTCCCGCTCCCTCTGTGATCAGCAGGTTTTTGTTTCCAAGTGCCTTCTGTCTGCCTTCTCTCAAAGCAACACTGGTTCTGGGTCACGAGCTGGCGCCGAGCCAGGGATGGCGCCTCCCCCTGCTAACGCAGCTCGTTGAGGTTCTGGCTGTGCAGGTTTTGGTGCTGCCTGTTCAGGCTGATGGTGTTGTCCAGCGTGATGTCGTCGTCCTCCTGCGTGGTTTCTGGCATAAACTGCCGGAATATGCTGACGCTGCCATGCCAGAAGATGGGCTCGGGGAGCCGGCCCACCACGCTCCAGGCCCGCGTCTCGGGGTCGTAGGCTTCCAGGACATCCGAGAGTTCAAACGTGTTGTCGTAGCCCCCGGAGACGTAGAGCTTCCCGCCGAGCACGGCCACGCTGCCCCCCACGTGCACCTACAATTGAAAAATAAACACACGCAGCAGTGAGAAAAGGAGGGGTTTGCCCAGTCGGGTGGATGATAAAGGTGTCGGGTGCTGTCCTGTGACCGCTCACCCGGGGGGGGCTCAGCACCCTCCTGCTGCCCAAACACCGGGGGGAGATGGAGCTTTTGAGCTCGGCCCAGTCCCGCGGACTGGGCTGGGCACCCGCTACTGTCACAGCCCAGGATTTTGTCTTCCAGGTGACGGTGAGGCAGCACAACGCGCTCCATGCGCGGGGGGTTACAGGCCAAGGGACACTTGGCTTCCCCAAAACGACAGCAGGTTTTGTGACCAGCGGGCTGGTCCTACCTGGAGCATGGCGGGGATTTTGTCCCATTCATTCTTCGCCGGATTGTAAACGTCCACTTCAGCCGAGTCGTCTCTGCGGGAGAGAACACAAAATTACTCTTCTTCGTTCTAAAGCAGCAGCTTTGGTTTGAGCTATTTAAAGCTAACCAAAAAATGAGTTTGTGAGTTTTATCGGTAACCTGTTCCTCTGTTCCCCAAAGATTATCTCACGGCTTTACACAGAGCAGCAGCCCACACGCAGCACGTGACATGAGGGGAGGAAGGCCTGAGCCCGCTAATCTCATTAACTCCTGCAGGGGCATAAGCGACCAGAAATCCTGAAGAGTCAATCATTAGTATTTCAAATTGGGTAAGAAAAAGGAAAACTACAGCATCGGCTTGTGACAAGTAGCGGAATTGCTAGAACACACCGGCGGTGTTCACCGAAATCCAGGTGACTCAAACTGCTCCCTGCAAGCAGCTGCCAGGAACCAGGCACTCGGCTGAGCACACATGAATCAAGTAAAAGGTCGTGGGCAGAAGCTGCTGCTTTCCGCAAAGCCAAGGGGAGGTTAAAAAAAGAAAAGTGTCTGGAGGCCATCACAGAAGTTTATGTTTGCTCAAAGTCAGCACAGCAAGATGAACTGCTTCGGCCCCAGCATGCCTTCCAGTTTATTTTTAATGAAGTGGATAACCCAAGCGTTTGCGCCACCAGGACAGCTTCAGATGGGTAATTAAGTCCCAATTTGGAAAGGCGCTTAAAAATAGTGACCAATCATTTCATCTTCGGTCCTCTTATCTCTGCCGAGACGGAAGACGTTCTCTCCTGTGCTGCAGTTTAACGTCTTCTCGGAGCTGACTCGCTTATTTATAGCAACAAGGGGGGGTTGAACCAGAAGCCAAGAAAACCGAGAAGTCTATTTCCAAGCAGCGCTGCTGACTTCAGCCAGCTGACACCTGGCTATTGCCCAGCCCACGCGTTTCGATGCAGACGTTTTTACACGATTTTAAGCCCAGCTCTGAGGTCTGGCTACAGCAGAAGGAAAGAGGTGTGGCTGTTCCCAGACCCACCCGCCCCAAGGCAGGGCTCGCCTACGCCCACCCCCAAAACCCGCAGGGCCTCCGGGGAACCCCGGGCTCGCCGCTCCTGCCACTCACCGGATGAAGTACATGAGGCCGTTGAGGGTGACGGTCTTGGGGGCGAAGGACCAGGGAGGCAGGTGGCTGCAGTTGACCAGGGACCAGAGGTCGGTGTCGGGGTCGTAGCACTGCATGCCCATGGCCTCCTTGCCGGCCAGGGAGCCGATGGCGAAGAGCTTCCCGCGGCAGGAGGTGGTGGAGCAGTTGTCCATGGGGTAGAGCATGGGCTGCAGGGCCTCCCAGCTGTCCACCGAGTGGTCGTAGCGCTCCGTGCTGTCCGAGGCGATCACGTAGAGGAGCCCGTCCAGGACCGTGGAGCTGTGGTACTCCCGGGCTTTCAGCATGGGAGACACCTCCGTCCACTCGTTGACGCTGGAGTTGTACCGCCAGACGCAGTCGTACAGCCTCGAGCCGTCGGAGCCCCCTGCGGCACAGCACGCCGCGCCTCAGGGGGTGGCTTCGCACAGGGAAGTACTTTGGGGTGATGGGGGGGGGTTTGGTCTGTTACAGCTTTGGAATACACCCCCCACCCCCCC